CCTCTCCTCTCCTCTCCTCTCCTCTCCTCTCCTCTCCTCTCCCCTCCCCTCCCCTCCCCTCCCCTCCCCTCCCCTCCTCTCCCCATCCCTCTCGTCTCATCTTGTCTTTTCTCCTTTCATTCTTCATGCCATCTATCCCTAAACATCACCATACTTCTTCAACTTGGCGCTCAGTATCTTCCTACCCTCCTCTGCTTTTCGCTCTTCGTTTCGTGATCGTTTCCCCTTCCCTCCTCCTTTTGTCTCCTCCCCTCGTCCTCTCCCTCGCTCCTTCGCTCGCTCGCTCCTCTCTCCCTCGCTCCCTCCCTCTTTCTCTCCCTCTCCCTCGCTCCCTCCCTCTTTCTCTCCCTCTCCCTCGCTCCCTCCCTCTTTCTCTCCCTCTCCCCTTCTTCTCAGCTCATTCCCTCAGCCAGGCGATGTCAAGTTCAAGGCTGCGATGAAGGATTATTTCGATCGTTGCACTTCTCTCTCCAAGTCGCTGCTCAGAGCCTTCGCTGTGTGTCTGGGGCAGCAGGAGCAGCACTTCGACAAGGCATCCCCCCCCTCCCCCCTCCTCCTCCAGTCTCAATCGCTTGCAGATGCTGGGAGAGCACACGAGCTACCTGCGCTTGAACTTCTATCCCCCATGTCCGCGTCCAGGTGCTGCCGCCTGTCCTGTCCTGTCCTGTCCTGTCCTGTCCTGTCCTGTCCTGTCCTGTCCTGTCCTGTCCTGTCCTGTCCTGTCCTGTCCTGTCCTGTCCTGTCCTGTCCTCTTTTCTGATTTTCCTTCCAGTGGATGCAGACTTTCCCCTTCGGTCCCCCAAGGAAGACGAAGGCTTCTTGGCCATCAATCGCCACACCGACGCCGGGCTGCTAACGGTGACAAGGAGACGAGGGGCAAAGAGACGAGACGAGATGTAGCTCCTCGTATCTCTCTCAGGGAGAGATACGAGGAGGAGGGGGAGGGGGAGGGGGAGGGGGAGGGGGAGGAGGAGGAGGGAGGGGGAGGGGGAGGGGGAGGGGGTGGTAACAACACGTGATGCTGATGTATGCAGATCTTAAGGCAACAGTACGACCAACCACACTCACTGCAGGTCAGCGTTCCCGTTCCCTTCTCTCTCTCCCCTCTCTTTCCTGACCTTGCTTCTCGCCCCTCATTCTCTTTTCTCCTCTTCTCAACATTCCCCTTTCCTCTCCCTACTTGAATCTCCATATTTCTTTTGTTGGCTGGCCGTCTCTTGTCTCGTGTAATGTCTTGACTTGACCAGTTGGCATATGATATCATGTCTGAAGCTTGTCTTATCTTGTGTTGCTGCCTTGCATTGTGTAGTGTGAATATGAGTGTCAGTAACAGTGTTAGTGTAGTGTGAGAGTGACTTTAGGTGTAAGTGTCAGTGTCAGTGTAAGTGTAGGTGTAATCCGTGTTAATGTTTCTTCGCTTCTCATATTGGTTTCAGGTCTTCTACACGAAAGATTCCGATAAGGACCACGAGACGAGGGAGGGCAAGGTACTCCCACCAAATGTCCTACCTTTCTCTCGGATTTTTCTACCATTCTCCTGTCATCCTCTCCAATTGGATCCTTGTGCTCTTCTCTGATCATCTCTTGCTCGTTATCCAGTGGGTCGTCGTTCATCCTACCCCTGGTGACCCTCCGCCCCCCCTCCTCCCTCCTCCCTCCTCTGCTGCCGCCGCTGCCTCCCATGCTCTCCTCGTCCTTCAGACCACGACCTTGGCGTTGAACCCGAAGACGCACTTGAGAGAGCTGTCGACCTGCAAGTCGCCGCGTGACCCAAGCGAACGAGGCAGTTGGCAGGAGCTGGAGAGAGAGCACAGGATGGAATCGAGGAGAGCAGCAGGGGAGCAGGTCACCTTCATAGACCCAAAGAGCATCACGTTAGGAATGACGCCTCTAAGCGCTCCTGACGCTGTCACCGACTGCCCCTTTTCTCAGAGTTCCTCAAGCTGACATAAAGCTTACCTGAGAGCTGCTGTCCATCCTCATGTTCACTTTACTGGCGTTCCAACGCTGCTGAAGAGCTTCACGCCGTCACTTCATCCTCCTCTCCCCTCCTCTCCTCTCCTCTCCTCTCCTCTCCTCTCCTCTCCTCTCCTCTCCTCTCCTCTCCTCTCCTCTCCTCTCCTCTCCTCTCCTCTCCTCCCTCTCATTTCCCGTACTCTGCTCTGCTCTCCTCGTCCTCCTTGTTTCCTGCATCCCTCTTCGCTCAACCCCCGCCCCTGCTCTGATTGCCTCCCCCGTTGTCCTCGACTTCTCACCTACAACTACTGAGTTCCCGCTCTTCAAAGAGCTGCCACTGCACGCAAGTCCAGCATGCGCTCTGCCGCCCCGTCAGGCTCACGCGCTTCCTCCCGCGCAGACCTCAAGCTGCTTGTGATCCTCTGCTCGATCCCGATCTCCGCCTTCCCTCCCCCTGCCTGCAGCAATGCTGGCATCAGGCCTACGAGAGTAGTAGGAGTAGTAGGAGTGGAAGTAGGAGTAGTAGGAGTAGGAGAAGTAGTAAGAGTAGTAGCAGAGGAGGAATAGGAATAGGAATAAGAGTAGAGGTAGTTGGAGCAGAGACGTTGCCGAATGCGGTCAGGTTGTAGGAGGGGCCAATGAACTTGGCGAGGAGAGTCGGCTCTCGCACGTATCCTGACGGCTCGTCACGTGCTGGAGAAACCGAGAGAGTCTCACCCGTGTCCGCGTCAAAGTCGGTGGAGATGCCTGGGGAGACCTAAGAGTTGAGCAAGAAGAGGAGGAGGGAGAAAAGGGGGAGGGGGGGGAAAGGAAGGGGACGAAGGAGGAAGAGG